GCTCCTCAAATCAGCACAAATGCAGCATGGACTGCGACATGGAGATTACACTCGATATCGGTTCGTGCATTGCTTCTCTAATGCCTTGTTCACTTCTTATATATATACTTCTGCTGAATCAACCGACCCATTATAGTGCAGAAGGTATTGCTCTGCTCGATTGAGGAGGTTGTACAAATCTCTGAAATTCACTCATGGACGTGGTAAATACACTCGTAGAGCCATCACCGAAGCAACTGTTACTGAAGTGAGGTATGTATGGTTGAGCTACTTACTTCGTCATGGTCTCAAGTTTGAACGATAAGTTATAGGTAGGAATTGAATTTGTTCCATAACATTAAAGTTACAAATTTAGTTTGTACCATGAAGGGTTTTTTCTTTTTGTAAATGGAAGCACCGATGCTTATGATCATAGTAGCGGAGCTCCTTTTTGTTTGTGTTTTATGAAAATGGCATGGATTTCTTGGAAACATTGAAATGAAATCTGAGTTTATTCAGTCCTTCAAGTTTATAGGCCTCTTTTTCTGGAAGAAAACAGGTTTCTGCATGTGGTACTTTATTGTGCCGAAAGAGCATGGAGTCATGCAATGGAGAAACGACAGCTCCCAGATGGCCCCAATGCACGACAGAGAATCTATTTGATTGGCAGGCTGAGAAAGGCAGTGAAATGGGCTAATCAGTTTTCCCGACTATGTGCTGTCAAGGGAGATTCCAGGACATCTTTAGAGGCCGAGGTTTGTGTCTTCTGTTAATATGAGTTGAGCAATTTTCTGAGTTTGCAAGTTTGGTCATGGACACAGTGTGCCCTTTTAAGATACAATTCTTTCTCCTCTCATTTCAAAGTACTCATAGCTGGAGTTCAATTTTAACCATCTGTCATGTTACCTGGGACCAGCATTCTTGGTTCTTGTAATCTGTGACTGTCTGAGCTCTATTAATATTTCTCTTTCATCCCCATCTCTTACTTTGCAGGCCTATGCATCCTATATGAATGGGACTTTACTGTTTGAACAAGACCGGAATTGGGACACTGCACTGAAGAATTTCTTAAGTGCCAGGTTCACATATATTTGTGTTAAGTTGACTTGCGCTTCCTGGTGGTTGTGCTCAAGTACAAGGCGTAATTTCTGTCTGTTAATTTGTTGTAGAGCTGTTTATGAAGAGCTGGGGAAATACGGAGATTTGGAGAATCAAGTCCTGTGCCGTGAGCGTTTGGAGGAGCTGGAACCTAGCATCCGGTACTGCCGCCATAAAATTGGGGAGTCGAATCTGAAAACCTCCGATCTCTTGCAAATTGGCGAGGTGGAAGGCCCTGCCATGGACCTCTTCAAGGCGAAGCTAGAGGTGGGAATTCGGAATATTAGTAATGAACTGCTTAATCATGCTTGATGTGCTGCTTGTTATCTGTGATCAAAATAAAGACTGGTTAAGTTCTGCTTTTCTGTCTTCAAAAGAATAATATTGATGATTATTTACAATCAGCAAAGTTGGAAAGCACGTGAACCTCACTGTATGCTTCATTCTGAAATCGATGCAAATAAAAAACATATATATAATGCACATGGAGGATAGGAACAGCCGTTTTGTGAGTGAAAATGTACATTTATTTCTTTCTAAATGCAATTTCCCAAACAAGTAGCTTACTTTAATAGTCATAAAACAATTCGTCTATATGTCTGTAATCTGTCAAATGATTGAGCGATCTGCTATATATGATTAAGCATAATGCATATTTTTTACTGGACTCCTATTCCAGCATATATGTCATGAGCCAATACATTTTAGTTTATTTCTCCTATTTTTGACGAGGCAGAAATATTCTATGCTCGGTTCTGAATTGGGCTTGAAATGTGTTTGCCTTCTCAGTAATAGGAACTGGGTATTTATGATTCTTAATGTTTTCCAGTCATTGCATACTTCTTTTATTGATACTCTCCTCGCTTGCAGGCTGCTATGGCTGAGGCAAGGTCTCAACAGGCAGCATCCTTGACTGAATTTCAATGGCTTGGGCACAAATATCCTATACCTAATGCAAAAACTCGAGTTGCCATTTTAAAAGGTTGTCAATGGCTTCGACTATTACTGATTTATTGAATCGCACTGTTTGTTAGAATGATTCATTATGATCCTATGCCTTGATTCTCCTCTAATGTTGACCATAACTCCAATGTCAATTGGCGTAAGGCTCTATTCCTATCGATTCTGTCTTTCTCTATGTCTCTGATTTTGTTGACTGAAATAGGCCAGTGCATCGCCTTAGGTTGGGTAAGCTATAGCACTTTGCTTCTGTCTGGAGCTAATGGTTATTGATGTAGATGTGCCGGTTAAATAAAGTTCACTAGTATTCATGCTGAGCTGTTGATTAGAATTGATGCCCTGTTGGATTCAGCTCCTAGAATTTTCTTCATGAAACGTGGATTCATTGTTTATATCTATAATGAGTGGGTCGAACTTACTGGGTCATGTGTCCTTTATGGTGTGATATGGCAGCACTCTTCGATTATTTAGTATATTGCAGTGCGGTCCTGGCCTCAAGAATTTCCTTTTCGCCTGTTTTTTATGATATTTCAGCTCAAGAGCTGGAGAAAGATTTGCATGGTCAGGATGCAAATGCACTTCCAGCTGAAAAAAAGCTAGCAGTCTTCGACAAAATTTTTACTGCATACCATGAGGCTAGGGGCTATATCCGGAGTGACTTGGTATGAGATTTTAGATGTTTGCCACATTCTGAAACAATTCATGATTTATTTTATCATTGACACCATTTTGCTGGTATTTCCAGAAGCGTGATTTGTTACACTGTCTGATTCATTATCATTTCTATTCTTTCTTCATACTCATTCCTAACCTACTGAATTTGCAGACTAGTGCAGGAAATGCTGAGCGTGTGAAAGATGACTTGAGTGGCCTTCATGATGCTGTCACAGCTGTATTAGGACTGAGAACAACAGAGCGTGACCGTCTTTTGGTTACTATTGCTAAGAGTAAGCTTGCCAAGCGTCGTGATGACAAAAATGAGAAAGTTACCAAGCCAGAAGAGCTTGTTCGCCTTTATGATCTGTTATTAGAGGTGAAAACATATCCCTTTATTTCTGTTTCAGTTTAGGTTTTCCCCTTGTGGTAGGCAACAGACTCTTTCAGTTAAGAGGTGACTGACTTTTTCCTTAACTTGGCTAACAGAATACACTTGCTCTTTCCGAGTTGGTGAGCTCACGGAAAGAGAGAACAGCTGAAGAAGTTGCATTTGCTGAAGAATGTGAACGCAGACGTTTAGCTTTCCGTGCTGAAAGGTCTGAAATGGGTGTTATTGTCGACTCATTTACAGTTGTCTGTGGGAATCATATTTGCAAGTACACATATGCATTAATTTTTCCATGTCATGGCTGCTATACTGTAAGGCTGTCTCTTTCAGATCTATATTCGCCTCTCCTGCAATGTTCTTCCTTACACAAATGTCGGAAGGTTGTTTGGTTGAATATCCTTGTCACGATGTCTCCTCTTCTTGTTTTGCTTTAATTATGTCTTATGCTGTTCTGCCTGTTGTGTATTCTTCACTTTTCTGTGGAAGTCTTGGTAAAGCTGCTAGTTGTGGTTCTTGTGTTTCTTACCCCGTTCATTTTTACTTATCTCTGATTTATGTGCTTGGCAACTTCTCTACAGATGTTTCTTCTTGGCAAAGTCTTACAGCATAACTGGTAAAAGAGCAGAAGCATTTGCTCTGTTCTCCCATGCCCAATCCCTTGCAGAGAAAGCCTTGAAGAATTATCAAGATCTGAATGAGAAAGATGAGGTACTTTGGTTTTGGGAAAATCCGAAAAGGGAAACCCAAGCTTTAGCCATTCTCTATGTTTCTCAGCTTTTAGTTGATAGTCTCTTGCTCTACCTTCCTGGCATTGTGCGTTAAACTTTTTGGCTTCAATTTCTTTTGGATGTTTTTGTGTGACAGGTGATGATGAAGGAGCTGAAGGGTTTATACAGTGAGTGCAGATCCAGTAGTTGCATAGAGCATGCCCTAGGGATTATGGAGGAAGAGAAGGTTCCAGAAAATCTCTCAGCTAGAGTCTCTGCTTTATCATTGAGCGGGACTACCAACTTGGTAACTAATTTCTGCTTTGCCCTCTCATTGTCCACCATTATACCGTTGCATCTGTTTATGTATGTCGCATTTGGACAACTGTTGACAGTGATTATGGAATGGTTGTTTGTTGTTTGCAGAAGTTCCTTGTTCAGAATCTCGACGCCTATGAGTCTGCTCTTGCTGATCCAAATGTGAAGCCAGCTCAGCATCCACGCATCGAAGCCTTCCCTCCACCTTTCCAATCCATAGCTAGAAATCCAATCATTCGAGATCTTGCTTATGAATACATTGATTTCCCATCCCTAGAAACTAGGATGAAAAAGAAAGGTCTCATTAGTAGGTGGTGGGGAAAATGAGCAATGCAAACTTGCCATTGTAACCAAAGGTAGGGAAAGAATGAGCTTGCAAAGGATTGTAGTGGAAATTCGATCGGCAAATCACATTTAGAAGTGAGGAGTTTGTCGTCTCTACATGTTGCGCTTTCGGGTTTTCTGTTACAAATTTTTGGGATACCTGAAATTTTGGGATGAAGGGATTTGGATAAGTTGGTAAACAAGGTCAATGTGTTAACTTTTCTTTATAACAATGCTCTCCATCTCTCCTCATCGATTCACAGGGACTCGTGAATGCAAAGTTTAAAATCAACGTTTTGCAAGGTTATTTACTGCCATCCATGTCAAGTAACCAGAACTACAGTGTTACTGCTGCAATTGACTTCAATTTGATTACATTTCAATCAACTCCCATCCTTACTAAATGAAAGCAAACATAATAACTACATCCTGTCTTTAGCAACTGACTACACCAACGTTGGACTCTGATCATATTCCAAACTATTACTTCTATGGTAACATAACTACTCCACCAAGGCACTAACACTATCCCTCCATCGATCTGACATTAGAAACTACGACACTGAAGATCAGTTACCAATTGTAAGAGGCAAGGCATTTGGTTCCAGTGCCAGGAGTCCTCTGGTATCCCATAACGTTTGATCCCAGGAACCCTAAATGCAGGAATGCGATGAGAAAAGCAAAGCATATTTGCATTTGGAACTACATGAACCATATCGAATCCATCTTGCTTCAGCTTACAGAACAATGTCAAGCAACCTTCTACCTCCCTCAGCCTACTCACAGTGATCCCATTACTCCCTTCTTCAGCATTTGACTCGACTCGAACGATCATACATCGAATCCTTTCATAGTCCGACGCTCCCCATTTCGCGTTCCAATCTTTGAGCATTGCCCATACATCCCCTTCCCGTGGGCATATCTTGTAGCACGACATGGTTGGCTGGTACCTTACACGAAACCAGAACCGCCACAGATCAATCCTGCAAGCCCTTTCGCTGATCCTGAATGTCAAGAACCAGTTGCTCCCAATAACTCGAGTTGTTGGGAGAGGTTCAATCGTGGATCATATACCACAACAATAACACGCCCCTTCAAACGAAAGCCACTTACAAGGGCTTGAAGTTTGCACAGGTCTGAAGACAAGAATACCATGTGCTTAACAAATGGGGGTCACCGGGAATCGAACACAAGTCCTCTCAATCACATAAGGCTCTGATACCATGTCAAGAACCAGTTGATCCCAATAACTCGAGTTGTTGGGAGAGGTTCAATCGTGGATCATATACCACAACACTAACACGCCCCCTCAAACGAAAGCCACTCACAAGGGTTTGAAGTTTGCACAGGTCTGTAGACAAGAATACCATGTGCTTTACAAATGGGGTCACCGGAAATCGAACACAAGACCAAGCAGCCTTTGCAGATAAAGTAGGCATAGAGACGGCAATGCTAGCAGAAAACATCTCACAATTGGCCAAGCTTTTCTTTCTTCTGTGGTAGAATTCAGTGCGGCGATTTGCATCTGTGAGCACTGAGCACAAACACCGCATTTTCCAAAAGCTTGAAAGCTCTCCCAGCGAACGCCTGAGCTTTTCCAATGGTTTGGAGCAGGCTGACGAGGTTCTGGTAGCGAGATCGGGGTTAAACCCCCCAAATCCTAGAATTAGGCTAAATTGCAAGTTTGGTTACTCGAATTGCTACAAAATTTCATGTTTGGTCACTCGAATTGATTTATTCCATTCATAGCCATTTAAATTAGTTGAACAGTCCAAGTTCGATCACTCTCCGTTAACCTCCGTCAGACTCCGTTAGTGCCGTCAGTTAACTGTTGACGTGGCTAATGTTGAAATTAAAGTTTAAATTATCAAAATATCTGAAAATTGCTAGAAGCTACGTGATTGTGCTGGATGGAAAAATATCCAGAACCAATTAGGTGTGAAATAAATGTGGCAGTTGTAAAATAAAAAAATAAGAAAAAATAGCAACCATAAGCTTAAGTCGGTTAGTGGTGATATGTTTAACTTGGAGCCTATAAATAGGCTTGGTTGGATGTGTAAGAAAAAGCAGAGCCAAGCAAAGTAAACCAAAAAGAAAGAAATAAAAAAAAACCCTTTTTGTTTTTTGCTCCCACTCTCTGCCGCCTACTCACCTTTCTAAAAGCCTTCTTCCAATCTCAAAATAAAAACCACAATTAAATTCCCAAAAGCCTTCCATTCAAAACAAACGTGCCCACCAACTATATAAGTAAAGGAAATAATTCATTTTATTTACAACAAAGTGGTATCAGAGCCCGAGTTATTATTAAGTATGCTTTGTGGTTGCAGCGTAGTCTGAACTTCCAAATCAGAAAAGAATTTCTCGTGTTTTTGTTATCACGATTGTCCCATGGCCGAAAAATCCACTTTCCCCATTCAATTCCCCCACCTTACCAAAACCAATTATAAAAATTGGTGCATCCGTATGAGAGCCTTGCTGGGATCCCAAGATGCTTGGGATATTGCCGAAAAAGGCTACGAGATTCCCGTGGAGGATTCTCGATTATCTCCTGCTGAAAAGGAGGTGTTGAGAAAGAATCGAAAGAGTGATCAAAAAGCACTCACTCTTATTCATCAATGTCTTGATGAATCCATGTTCGACCAAGTAGCAGATGCTACCACAACAAAGGAAGCATGGGAGATTCTGCAAAAGGAAATGCAAGGCGTAGAACCAGTGAAGAAGGTTCGACTTCAGACACTAAGGGGAGATTTTGAAGCTATTAAAATGAAGGAAGGTGAATCTGTTTCAGATTACACCGCCCGTGTGAAGTCAATCGTCAGCAAACTGAAGCAGTATGGGGAGAAAATTGAAGAGACCAAAGTGGTGGAGAAAATTCTAAGGTCATTATTACCAAAGTTTGATTATGTGGTGGTGGCCATGGAAGAAGCTAAGGACGTATCAAAAATAACGGTTGATGAAGTCATCAGTTCATTACAAGCCAGAGAAGAAAGACTAAATAAAATAAATGAAGAATCATCAGAACAAGTGTTAGCTACAAAAGCTACCACTGAGGAGAAAGAAGGTGCCCGAGGAGGAGGTCAGTACAGAGGTCGAGGCAGGGGCAACTACAGAGACAGTGGAAGAGCCCGAGGAGCATATCAAAGCAGAGACGGAGGAAATTTCACCACGAACAATTATGAAACGTCCACCAGAGGCAGAGGTCGTGGACGTGGAAGAGGAAGTTGGAGATCAAATGAAGGTCGTGATAAATCCAACGTCTAGTGCCATAATTGCTCGAAGTACGGGCATTATGCATCAGAATGTTGGAGTCCGCCTAAAGAAGTGGAGGAGACAGCAAACAACGTGCAAGAAGAAGTCAAAGGCACATTGATGCTGTCACATCAAGGAGATGAAAAACTGAGAGATAACATGTGGTATCTGGATAATGCAGCAAGCAACCACATGTGTGGAAAAAGAAATATGTTCGTGGATATGGATAAGTTAGTGAAAGGAAATGTCGTATTTGGAGACTCCTCGAAGGTTCCTATCAAAGGCAGAGGAACTATACTCATCCGGCTCAAGAATGGCTCACAGCAATTTATCAATGATGTGTACTATGTCCCAGACATGACTAGTAACATCCTGAGTTTGGGTCAATTGATGGAGAAGAATTATGAAGTCCACATGGTGAATCGACAATTGGAGCTGCTAAATGAGAAGAGACAGTTGTTGGCCAGAGTCCCAATGTCGAAAAACAGAATGTTCACACTGAACATTCAGACAGAAATGGCGAAGTGCTTGAAAGCGTGTGTGAAGGACAATACATGGCTATGGCATCTGAGGTATGGCCATCTAAATTTTGGAGGCCTGAAGTTGCTCGGTCAGAAGAAGATGGTGCATGGTCTGCCAGTGATCAATCATCCAGACCAATTGTGTGAAGGATGCTTAGTTGGGAAGCAATTCAGGGCAAGTTTCCCGAAGGAGTCCCTGTCAAGAGCTAAAGCACCACTTGAGCTTGTCCATGCAGATCTCTGTGGTCCGATCACTCCAACATCATTTGGCAAGAACAAATACTTCCTATTGTTCATTGATGACTACATTAGAAAGACATGGGTGTACTTCTTAAAGCAAAAGTCAGACACATTTGAAGCTTTCAAGAAGTTCAAGATGCTCGTGGAGAATGAAAGTGGTTGTTACATCAAAGCAATGAGATCTGATAGAGGGGGAAAATTTATGCTGAAGAAGTTCAGAAGGTTCTGTGAATATCAAGGAATTCGCAGGTTTCTCACAGTCCCAAGATCACCACAGCAAAATGGAGTCGTTGAGAGGAAGAACAGAACTGTCCTCAACATGGCGAGAAGCATGATGAAAAGCAAGAACCTGCCAAAGGAGCTATGGGCTGAAGCTGTTGATTGTGCGGTCTACCTGCTGAACAGGTCACCAACAAAGAGTGTTTGGAATCAAACACCCCAAGAAGCATGGAGCGGAAGGAAACCCACAATATGTCACCTCCGAGTCTTCGGAAGTGTCGGATATGTGCACCTACCGGATCAAGAGAGGAAGTAGTTGGATGACAAAAGCAAGAAGTACATATTCCTGGGATACTCAGAACACTCAAAAGGTTACAAAATGTTTGATCCCGTGGAAGAGAAGCTGATCATCAGCAGAGACGTGGTAGTTGATGAAGAAGAAACATGGGATTGGACTGCTGAAGCAAAGAAGAATTACACTTTTTATCCATTCACTATGGATGAAAGTGATGATGAACCAGATACAGCTACACCTGTGACAAGTCCACCCAGTCACAGAGAGCCTGCCAGCCCAGAAGGAGAATCTAGTGAAAGTCCCCGAGAAAGGCCACAGAAGTATAGGAGACTTGAAGAAATTTATGAGGAAACTACAGCCATTGAAGGTGATGAATTGACACTCTACTGTCATTTCATTGATAGTGAACCAGTGGATGTTGAAGAAGCCATGAAGGATGAAAAATGGAAGAGAGCTATGGATGAAGAAATTGGAGCAATTGAGAAGAACAAGACTTGGGAGCTTGTGTCACTTCCTAAGAACCAGAAGCCAATCGGTGTGAAGTGGGTATTCAAGACCAAGAAAAATGCTAAAGGAGAAGTCGTCAGACACAAAGAAAGATTGGTGGTGAAAGGATATAGTCAGAGACCAGGCATTGACTATAATGAAGTTTTTGCTCCCGTGGCGAGAATGGAGAGTGTCAGGATGGTGATAACTCTCGCTGCTCAAAATGGATGGAAGATACATCAGATGGATGTGAAATCAGCTTTTCTGAATGGATATCTCGAGGAAGATATCTATGTGGAGCAACCACCTGGATATATCGTCGAGGGTCAAGAAGATAAAGTGTTGAAGCTGAAGAATGCATTGTATGGTCTGAAACAAGCACCGAGAGTTTGGAATAGCAGGATTGACAAGTATTTTCAGCAGAATGGATTCAGCAAATCCCCACATGAGCATGCATTATACTTCAAGGTGCAAGGGTGAGCAATCTTGATGGTTTGCCTATATGTAGATGATCTTGTCTTCACAGGCAACGATCCTCAAATGTTTGAAGAGTTCAAGAAGACGATGGTTCGTGAGTTCGAGATGACAGACATCAGATTAATGTCATATTATCTTGGAATTGAAGTAAATCAAAAGGAGGAAGGAATTTTCATCTCACATAGTGGTTTTGCCAAAGAGGTCCTGAAGAAGTTTAAGATGGAGAACTATAATCCCGTGAGCACACCAGCAGAGTGTGGACTGAAATTATCCAAGGATGACAAAGGAGAGAAGGTCAACTCAACGGAGTTTAGAAGCCTGGTGGGAAGTCTGAGATACCTGACTTGTACCAGACCAGATATTCTCTACTCAGTTGGATTAGTCAGCAGATACATGGAAGCGCCAACTATGTCACACTGGAATGCTGCAAAGAGGATACTACGCTACATTAAAGGTACAATCGATCATGGTCTAGTTTATACTAAGTCAGAAACTTTCAAATTGGTTGGATACTGCAACAGTGATTGGGCAGGAGACATGGATGATCGCAAGAGCACTACAGGATTTGTATTTTTCCTTGGAGATACAACTTTCACATGGAGTTCAAAGAAGCAAGCTATAGTGACACTGTCTACTTGTGAAGCTGAGTATGTTGCGACATCGTGTGCGTGTCATGCGATATGGCTGAGAAAGTTGCTGAAGGAGTTGAACATGACACAGGAAGAGTCAATTGAAATTTTTGTGGATAACAAGTCTGCCCTGGCGCTAGCGAAAAATCCGGTGTTTCATGATCGCAGTAAGCACATTGTACGAGATATCATTTCTTACGAGAGTGCGTGGAGCAGAAAGAAGTGATGCTGAAGTATGTGAAGACTAAAAACCAGATTGCTGATATTTTCACAAAGCCGCTGAAGCAAGATGTGTTCGTCAAGATGAGGATGCTACTCGGAGTTACACCGAATTAAACTTTAAGGGGGACTGTTGAAATTAAAGTTTAAATTATCAAAATATCTGAAAATTGCTAGAAGCTACGTGATTGTGCTGGATGGAAAAATATCCAGAACCAATTAGGTGTGAAATAAATGTGACAGTTGTAAAATAAAAAAATAAGAAAAAATAGCAACCATAAGCTTAAGTCGGTTAGTGGTGATATTTTGTAACTTGGAGCCTATAAATAGGCTTGGTTGGATGTGTCAGAAAAAGCAGAGCCAAGCAAAGTAAACCAAAAAGAAAGAAATAAAAAAAAAACCCTTCTTGTTTTTTGCTCCCACTCTCTGCCGCCTACTCACCTTTCTAAAAGCCTTCTTCCAATCTCAAAATAAAAACCACAATTAAATTCTCAAAAGCCTTCCATTCAAAACAAACGTGCCCACCAACTATATAAGTAAAGGAAATAATTCATTTTATTTCCAACAACTAACAGATAATAAAAAAAACCCTCTGCCACATCAGATAAAGCAAACCCAGATCAACCCCAACCTTTTACCCAACCAAAAAAAAAACCCACCACGAGGTTAGCGCCGGTACCAGTCCCCCTTTCAATTGTGATTTGCTTCTTCTTCAATTCCAGTTTTCTGCATGCTTCCAATCAATTTGTTACCAAGTACCAACCCATATCATCCCTCGTTCGCTGCAAGATAGCCTTCCATTCTTCCTGTATGTTTCCTGATCAATCTCCCTATCTATTCCCTTCTCTTGTCTCTCTCCGATCGACTCCAGCCCATTGATTCCAACTCTGATTCCCGGCTATGCCTTAGAGATGGAAGTTTTTCGATTCCGGCGGATTTGCCGACGAAGAACGCACAGGAAGTAGAAGATCTCGAGGCGGCTTGTTGCTGCATGCAGCAAACATATCTAGATCTAGAATCCTCCTATGTTGCCATCCCCGACGGTGAGGGACTGAGGGTGACTCTGACGACCTCTCCTCTAAAATGCGGTTGTCCCGGCGGCTGTGCAGTGAGAGTTTGGGGTCTCTGTCGATGGGTTCAATGGCAAAGGCTCAATTAATGTAGAAGAGACTAGCGGCGAAGAGGGCGACAATGGCGACATTGCTAAAAAGAAAAAGAAGAGAGAGGGCGTTTATCTCCAGACCCCTCACCGCCTTGTCAATCTTCATATCCCCCTTCCGAGGCCTCCGTTTCTCTCTTCCCATTCACCTCCCTCTCCTCCATCACCACAAATGACTATTCCGAGTAGTTGTGAACATGGACATTTTTGGATCAGTGAGACGGTCGTTGGTGTTCAAGGAAGGAAGAGCAAATTCGTATCTTTTGGTTATTTTCTTCCCCACCAGTGACGGTACTTGAAATTGGAGCTTGGATTAGGTGGAGGGTGGGAATGGAGGAGAGAGTGGTGCCGGAGATTGAGAAGTTGGAAATGGTGGTGGTTCCTTTTCCAATTGGAGGAAACGGTCGGGCGGAACAATAACTTTATTTGACGGAGGGGATCAAAGGTCAATGGCGCCAGAGAAGAAGAGAGGGTCGGAAGGGGATTTGATTTTGGTTAATGGATTTTTTAAGGTAGGTGGGTTGGGTTTGACGTGGCAGGTAGGGTTTTGTTTTTTATGGGTTAAAATTGGCCAACTCAGCCTCTCTGTTAGCGACGTCATCAGTTAACTGACGGCACTAACAGAGTTTGACGGAGAGTGACCGAACTTGGACGGTTCAACTAATTTAAGTGACTACGAATGGAATAAATCAATTCGAGTGACCAAGCGTAAAATTTTGTAGCAATTCGAGTGACCAAACTTGCAATTTACCCCCTAGAATTATATCTTTGAATGTAGATGGAATTCTATTAGGATTTTTGTTTGGTTATTGTTTGCTTTGTGATTATATGCTTCATCTTTGATCAGTTATGCATTGTCTTGTCTATCCAACCCTTTCATATAGCCTACCACTTAGGAGTTTATGATCTAGAATGGATTTGAACGTCTAATGCTTATTAGGATTGATGGATCATGGATGTAAAAACCTAGGGAACCGATTGGTGGACGAGATGACCATCCCCTGCCAATCGGTTGGCCTTCCTAAGCAATGCTAGAGCAATGCGTGCGTGACCATCGATATGTCGAACTAGTGTGAAAATAGTTTAAACTTATTTACAGGGTCTAGAACACATCCATAGTATGTTGAACTTGATCGATGTGACATTGGGCCAAGGAATTGTGCTAGGAGAGAGATTAGTTTCATGACCATTGAGCTAATCCCCACTTTAGTGATCCTTGCACCTTATTACCGCAAACCCGGAACTCTAAACCATTTGCATGATAGACCTAGACCTAGGGCGAGGGTGGAACTCCGAAGTACCTGCTTTTATCTTTGCTTTCTCCACCAGCACTTTCCATTCGAGTTTTTGTTTTGAAGTTGATTTGTATGCAAAGGAGAGAATCTCTTGAGACAGTACCTCTTGATACGAAGATTGAGAAAACCCTTAGAGTTCTTAGAAGAATAACAAGACTTCGAACTCAAACGATGATGGATCAATAACCACCTCGACCTCAACCACAACCGCAACCTCAGCTTCAACCTCAACCAAGGTCGAGCACGATGGGGCCATTCTCGAGTCCTATTGTGGAGAAGTTGCAATCTCCTATTATTCACCCAACTATCCCCAACAACAATTATGAGATCAAACCATGGATGATTACTATGCTTCAGAATGTGGTTCAATTCAAAGGGTTGATGAATGAAGATGCACATGCTCATATCAAAACATGTTATGAGCTTACAGATGGTATCAAAGTAAACGGGATCCCTCAAGAGTTGATTAGACTAAGGCTTTTCCCTTTTACCTTGGGTGGAGTGGAAAAGTAGTGGGTTGAACTCTTGGGCGGATTTGTGTGATAAGTTCTTTGCAAGATACATCCCACCTTCAAAGATGACATTGATGATAAATGAAATACAAACTTTCATACAAGAGGAAGACGAGCCATTATTTGAAGCTTGGGAAAGATTCACGTCTCTTCTACTCAAGTGCCCACACCACGGCATAGCCGATTGGCTACAAGTGGAAAGCTTGTATAATGGGCTAACTCGTGAGTCCCGGAATTTGATTGATGTTGCTAGCTATGAGCTATTCGAAACAAAGAATTAGGCGAATTTCAAATTCTAATTGAACATATGACTCTCAATAGCTATGATTGGGGTGATAGAAGGCGAGGAAAGAGTAAAATGAAGGTAGTGTGCTACAAATTGAAGAACCATCCTCGTTGACTACTCATCTTCAAGAATTGACAAAAAAGGATTGATTTTGTTGCATCAACCATGAAGAACAATAGCAAAAAATTGATGAAATATGATTGGTGCGGTGATATCATCATAATTTAGAAGATTGCAAGGCAATGGTAGAAGCATCGACTGAACATGAGCAAGCTAACTTTGTTGGAGGCCAACAAAGGTGCAACTATCCATATAGTGCTACCTATAACCCGTGATGGAGGAATCATCCTAATTTCATATGGTCTTCACCATCGGATAGGAAACTTACTGGTTTTCAAGGCCAAGCACCGATGCAAGCTCCATTTCATTCGTGAAAGCTATTGTCAATGGTTAACACGTGTCAACAACTACCCTATCCTAGGCCAAGTTTAACCTAAAATGGCGTTGTCGTATAATGGCAATCAATGTCATATTCATTCAGGTCCTGGTACCCTAGCCTACCTCTCATGTTGTTGTTATCTAACCAATCGGTTGAAGGGTTTGTTTTTGAGGATATGAGTGAACTACTAGTTAAGAGGAAAAATAAAGATAAACGTAGGTACTTCAGGTAACTATCCCTCACCCGAGCTTAGGACTACTATGAAATGTATAGATACTTAGGGTTTGTCGAATGTGGTGAGTGAGCTCGTTTCTGTGGGCTTTCGTGGTTATCCACACAACTCCAAATACACCTCCCCTAAACCCATTTATAGTCACCTTGATCTAGGCTATCATATATGGGCATTAAGCTCGTAGCTCCTTTCAATGGGTACTACCCACCGTCCACACTGAGGTTTCATCCTAGGTTCTCTCTAGGAAGACATTCCTATTTCAATGAGTACTACCCATCTATAGGATCATATTCATACATCTAACCTTCATTTGCTTGATGATGCATAGCCGTCTAACCCTAAAACTCCATACCTAGCGTAGTAGCTCAAGTAGGCTAGTAGAGAAGATTAGGGCGACTTACCCAAACCCAATCAAAGCTAGGAAAGCATAAGAATCGACTAGATAAACACATTCATTCATTAAGACCCTAAAATATCCATACATACATAGTAACCTTGACACTAGAGTTTGAGGTTTAGAACCCCTAGTACCTTAGAGGACCACTCCATAAAGGAGGGAAGAAGATACATAGAAGAGGTGGAGGAAGACTTGATGTTGAGGAAGATGGCTCCTCTTCTTCTAGCTCCTTCCTTCAGCTACTCTCTCTTCTCTCTCTCTAAAACCAGAAATTCTATCTCAAAATCGGCTCTCTTGAATGGGGAGAAGGGGTCTTCTATTTATAGGCATAAGAGGACAGAGAAGATGACGGGCAGGAAGGGTTGAGATCGCGGGTGCGATTCTGCATGGAGGCCTCAATCTTAAGATGTTGCCATTTCCGCCTTCAAGGACAAGGAGTTCGCGGGCAAAGGTCGCAATCCACGAGTCGCAGCCGCAAACTTCCTCATCGTCAGTTTGTGCTTCGACTGTGTTCTGCCTGGGGAAACTCTTTGTTTCTCCTCGGCTACTTCCTCAAGAAGTTCGCGCTCGGAACCCTCCAGATCGCGATCGCGATCTTAAGCTTCTAGGCTACATTCTTTGGCTTGTCTTCGCAAGCATGGTTCTTGGTTGTGATCTCTGGCTTCAGCCTGCGATCTTTAGTTTTCA